TCGGTCTTTCAGTGCTAGCCAACAGCGGTGCACTTTCCTAGTTAACTAAGGGTTGTAACTAAAGAGAGTGCAAAACCGTATGGTTCTGTGGTTAGCTGAAAAGGTCCACTAGGATATGCAACAGTGACAAGAAGGATGTGAAAAATTCTACAGGATGTACCGAAAGGCTAGAGAAGTTGAGATTCGATGTTCACCAGTGACCGATTTTTTAGTGTTATTTCATCATGGCTTAACTAACATTTGAAAATCGTAGGGCGTTCACCGACTTCAACATTAGAAGAATTAAAAAGGCATGCGCAGGCTACGCACTGTTGATTCGGTAATGTGCAATTCATAAGAAGCATGAGTAGCATGATAGACAAGGTTATTAAGGGCGCCTGAATGCGCTTCTGGTGCAAAGCATTATACAATTATGAGCTAAAATAAAAATGCGCAATTATGAATGCCGCGCTTCAGTTGCCACAAGTGCAACTTGTGTAAACAACATTTGACAACCGTAGTGTTGCCCTGTGCCCGTAAACCGTTATCTACTCATTTGTCTCCGCAAGCATGTTTGTAAAATCAATGCAAAGAACGTTTAACCTAAGCGCGTATGTAGTAATCTTGTTGGAAAACAAAGCGGAAAAGTAAGATTTGGATTTTCACTAAAGCGGAAATTATTAAGGGCGGAAATAACACAGCTGCAAAGCATGAGGCGCTCTGGCTTAAAATGCCACGGTGTAACGATCACGAATGGGGGTTTTCCAAAAACTGTAATCTGAGATTGTGTGATTGTATGAAACCGGAAACTCAAGTATGCTGAAAACGAATACAGTCAGCTTTATAATTGTTTTTAACCGATCCACTGACACTGCTGTAACGCAGTTTGGGTTCCGATCAAGCTCACCGCTTGCAAATAGAGCTTATGTTAGCTGCGGATTTCTCAGCCCAAGTAACGAACGACATTCTTCTGAAATCGCAACCATTACGCGTTTTAACGTAATAAACGTTACACGACATTTCATAACTCGACATTTCATAACGTAACGTTTCACAACGTACATTTCATGACCGTAACGTTTCATGACCGCAACGTTTCACAACTGCAACATTTCATGACCGCAACTTTTCACAACCGTAACATTTCATGACCACTGCATTCCATCAATAATTTTAGCCGTTTTACTGTATTCTCATTTTAACGTAGTAGTCAACGGTGACAAAAATTTTGCCATCATCCACCGTTAATTTCTAGCTACGCCTTGGCGGTGCGGTTATGCCACAAATTTGCCAAATTACTCAAACAATCTTGCAATTACAAATATTTTGTTTTAACTGGTAGTGTGAGTCATGATCTATATTCCTTCAATTAGAGTAAAAACAAAATCCTTAATTTTTTAATTCTTAAATTATCCCTTTGGCACATACGTTGCAGAGCTGTATCTGATGGCATCTTGCAGACTGCTTGTAACGGCAAATCCTTGTTGACGATTAGCGCCGACTGTTGTGGCTTTGATAAGCCAGATAAGGTTTCGCCCGCGCGTTTCTTCATATCCATTTTTGCCAAGTGAGCTGCAGTACTCCCGCTTTATCGGCTAGGGGTTATACATATAATACTGCCAAATTTTGAGAGGAGCATTTCTGTTCGTCACTGAATCGGTTATGGTTGAATCGTGCATTACGAAAAAACTAGATAATCGAAGGTACCACGAGAAACAATATAGGTACTTAACCCTCCAACGCTCACTACCCGAACGGGTGGGAGTTTCTTCGTGAAAACCGGGATTTCCCGATGAAAAAATTCAATTAAGAAAGGGAATTTTTTGTGTGCTTGTACTGACCATAGGTCACCGGCGGTGACATGGGTGTTTAGCAACACCATTGGGCGCAGACGGTCCTAGTCACGAAAACGTTTAACTCTATAATAATTCGGCGAACAACACCTGACCGAAACAAAACGTTTATCATATAGACCATAAAGAGGGCTTCAAAACAAGGGTATTGCAGTGGTCAGTAGACTGACCATTGGTCAGCAAAACTGGAAAATGTTTCTGCATGATGTAGTAATTGGTGGATAACTGGACACCACAAATGCAGCGATTATCAACAACTCAGTTCTCAAACAGCATTACTTTTCGTACAAGAAATCGCATAACAGTCTTGATGGCACGCCGAGCTGGTCTTACACTGCACGCATGGTGCATGATTGCACTTTTATGGGTGTAGCCGCAGCGTTTGGATCGGAAATCAGCGATGACGGTCCAGTAGTACGTGCGGTAGTGATGCGCTGAAGTTCGCATTAGCAGTCTGGAGGCAGCAGCCGCCATCATGAAGTCAGCATCGGCCGAATGTTATTAACACACCTGGCGCAAAGGTCACTACTCACTACCGGACATGTAATTGCTGGAGTTGTTATCATCCACGGCTCCAGGAGACCGATGTATTTTTTTTCTGCTTGCCTACACCGCTGTAAGGTCTGGTTCGTGTAAATGCAGTAGATCGTACGAGGCGCAAGGCAGGCTGCAAGGTTGTCATGCCGATTACAGTAGTAATGCACTATTGCAGATTGCCAAGGAAGGTTACCGCGCTCGGTTATATAGAAGGTTAGGTTGTCCAGAAACGACCACCGATTCGTTCGTTTGAAGGCCATAGCCGACCACCCAGGGTGCCGCCCAACTAAATTGTTTTTGGAAGAGTTCCGGCAACCAGAACCACGTGGAGCATATTAGAAGTCCGAACCAACAAGACCTTATCCGATTTTACATAATTACAAAAGTGTCGAAACTGCGCCCGCCCGTACTTCAGGACCATACATGCCCAATGATGTCTGCACGCAACACAAGTTTTCGATGGACTGTGGCCATCCACTGTTTAACTTTTAGATCCGACGCTTGTTATTTTCTTATAAAGCATTACTGATAGTACATTACTGAATTATCTCAGATTAATTGACTCAGTGACTAATTAGTTAATTAGCAGGACCTTCGGGAGATCAGAAAGTTCGAAATTGGCGACTTTCGCGACCTCGTGGTTCTTGAGGGACTTCAGATTCCAGTTTAGTTTGTTTTTTATTGCTGCTGTAAGGCCTCGTAACGCTAATTACGCTATCAGATATTGATTAATTGCTGTTGTTCATTAAGAAAAACAATTTGAAGACCCTGTTGCGCCCCAACACCAATGGGCGTCAGTGGGTTAACCCACTGACGCCCATTGAAAATAAAAATTATATGCGGCATCAACCGCAATCCATGCCAACTAATTACATTGTTCAGGTCGATGCACTTTTCATAAAAATATTCGGCTTTACATCCGTGATTTGGAAAGCGGATCCAAATGTCACGGTTGTGAAATGTTCCGGTTTTGAAATGGTACGGTTGCGAAAAGTCTGGGTTGCGAAATGTTACGGTTGTGAAACGTCCAGGTTGTGAATTGTTACGCCATGAAACGTTACGTCATGAAATGTCGGGTTGTGGAATGTTATACAATAAAACCCTTGTGAACTTCCAATGAACACTATCAGAAACATTTTGCATTGTCGCAAGTTCTATCATGGATTACTTGAACACAAGGACGAATTACACTGTTCCCAGCTTTGACGGCAATATTACCAACGTGCATTGGAACTTTCTCGCCGGTTTCAAAGTATTTACCAACGTAACGACCTTCTGCCTCAACGCCATAGTCTTATGGGTTCTGCTAGTTAAGCACGAACTGCACAAGGACTTCAACGTCTACCTGATCAATCTCCTGATCTGCAACATTACGCTCCTTGTACTGACACCATTCTACCAAGTTATTAAATGGATGAAGCAGAACTGGTGGCCGGGTTCGGTGTTATGCGATCTGTACTTTTACGGTTTCCTAATACCACCCGCCACTGCGCTTTGGGGGCGATTTTTAATTGCTGGCAATCGTCTCTGGGCCGTGACGTTCCCTCATTCCTATTATCAGTATCATTCGAGACGCGTCGCCATTGTATCGTGCGTCATTATGGGGATCTGTGTGCATGTGGTACACTTACCGGCTTTTATCATGAATGCCTGGTTTTACCGTGGCCCAGGCGAGATATTTGGATGCCGGTTCAGCCGAGAAATATCAGAGACGTATTTAAAAATTATGGAAATAATAATGAGCGATATTCCTGTATTGTTTGTCATTATCACGTATCCGTTTCTGCTGTGGAAGACCGTGCGAAAAAGGCGTGTGCGAGCTAGAACATCACTTGCGGACAGCACCAAAGACAATTCGAATAACCGTAATGCAAATGCTGGAAATACCATCGAACTCGCACATGCAGCGACAGCCATCGTTAGTGCTCGTCGCTTTATTGATACGACTGCACGATCCGAAATGTCACCTGCTCGGCAAAGAGAAATCCGGAATGCCTTCACGGTTTTAACGCTCATGACCATCAGTGTGCTCCTATGCTGGGCACCGGCATCCTGCGTGTATCTAGCGGAATTGTTTGGTGGTTATAGGTCACCTGTCCAGTATTTTTAGTATGGCACTTGGATGCAAGAAACGCAAGCTTTTTTTGATGCCGCGATCATTGTCATCGGTATTAAAGATGTTCGGACCATAATAAGGAATATTTTTTCGACGGGAAATCGCTGAGTCGTATCTGACTGCCTCGTTATGCAGCCACTTGAGCAATAATGTGAACAACATTGATTTTCTGTGTTTGTTAATATGACATTGTATGTTAATGTAAGCTAAAAAGCACATCCAGTACGATTTTTACCAACATGTGTCTGTATAAAGTGTATTCAGCAAACGCGAATGCACTTTGCAAAAATGTTATCATGAAGTATTTCACTGGGTTTGATTAATCCGAAAGCGAACATTGTGGACGCTGTGACTGACTTGATTTAATCTGTGTATTTTTGAGCTAATTCCTCACAGATGTACATTATTTTTCTAAAATTTTGGGCGATTGGCTACATACAACTTTTAACCCTACTTCGAGATTGATTAACAATCGGTCACTTATAAATTACATTGAAAACAATTGGTCACCTGCACCGCAGCAGTCATCAGCCCCTCTCGTAAGTCGTAAAGCAGTGGCAAAAATGTGGGGACGACTAAACGTCCATAATGAGGAGTGAAAGTGACCAGTAATATTGTTGATCAATCCAGAAGCATCTGAATCCGGCTTTTCTGCAACAGAATAGATTTACAACACGATCAACTACGCCATGCACAATGGCGTTTTACCACGGTCTTTAAAGTGCACTTTAAAGCAATACTAACCTAACTAGGTAAGTGCACTCGCTTCTGGCGGGCACTGCATGACCGAAGCGTAGAAGTAAATACATTTTTAAATAGGAGCAAAAATTTGTAGAATGAATGTTACGATTATGAAGTGTAAAGAGTAAAATTATGCAACCGGTGAGGTCTCCCAGACAGATAAAGATTCCGCTGTTCTCGGAACATGGCAAAAATTTTAGATGGGAAAATTTTGCCAGGAAATTTTAGATGGAAACATAGCAAAAATTTCTTATCTAAAATTTTTGCCAGCCATATTGAAAATTATTCTGTAAAACCTACTCGCAAAGAAACATTTAAGGTCACAGTTACGGTGGACGTCCTTCTGAGCCTGCAACAATTTTGAAGCGCGAAACTGGATTTTTTATACACGAGTAAGAGATCCATTAAATATTAAATCGAGCCCACACCGGCTGAGTAACTGTTATTACATTTGTTCAAGACTTACACGAATTTCCACCTGGCATAATCAAGTACGGATGATCACCGCCAGCAGGCATGACCATCCGAAGGATATGTCGTTGGCCTGACCGCTGTATTTCAACTGAAATCCGCTTTGCACGCCTGATGCCGGTGAAATCCGCAAAGTCTGCGGGAAAAACGGGGTTGCGGGAGCAGACTCAACTGGACCGGATGTGAGGGATTTCGTAGCTGCAGGACTGCAAGTCGATGTGGAGGGCTGGCAGCCGGAACAGTGCCCCCAGTTCTGCGCTGCTTGTAACGTCTTCTCCTGAACCACCTCCACACTGGCTGCTCACCTGTGCTCTCTCCAATAATTTCGGCCAATTCAGTGCGCTGAGCAAAGTTCGGATAGGGACAGTTCTTATAAAAGCTCTCTAATTGCTTAACTTGGTCTTTGCGAAAATTTGGGCAACGGTGGATTTTTTTACAGCCGCCTGCAGGATTGACGGTAGGAGTAACGATGGGACGCACATGTTCAGGTGTGGCAGATTCCACAACGTTCGGCATATGAACGACATTATTGAAATTGTCCTCTCGGAGCTCAAAGCTCCGAAGATACTGCGCTGGATCCTCTCGCAGCAGTTGATGAAGGTCCAGAGCTTTGACTGGAATCGTGGCTCTCACGAAACATATTCACGAATTGACAGAACAGTTTTCTTCTCATCCAAATTGAAGGAAACAAATCCTCTGCTGTTTAGCATTTTAAAGTGCAAAACTGAGTCAGTCACCACAAATACTGGACGCCGGACGGAATAGGATTGATTACTGTCGTAAAACACGAATGCAAAAAAATTATTGACCAGGCTACAGTCTGTAGTGTAGTATTGTTACTGTATAGGAAACTGAAACCTGCAAATGCAAAGCGAAAAACACAGCCATACTTTGCGATTACTTTATTCGGCTAGCTGTTTCGAAAACTGAATCGGTCTAAACTGGATCTACCGTACTTAACGGCTATGTTCGAGAAACGCCGACAAATGGTTTTGGGCAAATGGCCAGCCTCAGCTCGGCCGCGGATTCTCGTGGTATCGTCAGAACATGCACGGCCACCGGGAAGGAGTGTATGCGTAATGCGTATGCGTGTGCGCGTGTATGCCATCGCAGACACCTGATGCGTGGCCAGGTGTCCTCCCTGATTCGTGGTCAGGGAGGTTGGCGACACCTGATACGTGGCCAGGTGACTCGCACCCAAGGACGCAGGGAGTTGGGACCACCACCTGATGCGTGGCCAGGTGCTTCCCCTGATTCGTGGCCAGGGGATGAGACTGCCTTCCGGTGCGGTTCTGCGCGTACCATAGCGAGAGAGCTGCGCGAGTGAGGAGGTGCCCCAAACAATGTGGTACGCGCAGGCGTTGCAAGCGGATAGGAGTGTGATGATGGCGAGGCCAGCTTGTGGTGCGAAGCAGGAGATGGCGAGCCATCGGGAAGGCCCCAAACTATTTGTGGGTAATGAGTGATGACGGTCAGTTGATTTCTGGTAAGGAAATTAGCTGGTGTGGTAGTAGGGTTTGTCCCGCTGTATCGCAGTTTCTGCAACCCAGATAAAACGTCAGCGATACTAGTTTTTGGTACAAATTCAGACATTAATAATTAAACGGAGTATATTGAATCACGCAATCCAGACAGGTGTTACCGCGTTCCCGTGCTTAATATATATAGACACACATACATTTACATAATTTATGTGCATATGCATACATACATACATTATATTTTTATGTGCAAACTGTACATTATCAAGTATACTGTAGTTTTTGCGTGAACTTATCTTTTTGCGGTATCCTCCTGATGTCCAGTGTGGTGACGCTCGCTGATCTCGCCATTTGGTTAAGGCTGTGCGCCGCCAAATGCTGAGCCGTACGATTGCGGAGCCCGCGTGTTATGCGGATAGGTTGTAATAAACCTGCAATTCTATGAAAAAGAAAATATCGCGCTACATTATATTTACCAAAGACAGCCACCATGTTGCTCTATTTGCGAGAAATAACGTGTCCACTCCCTGCATCGCTATGCTGCGCTGACTCGTGCTCCCGAATCGTATGGTCACATGAACGGCATCTTCCGCACGCGTGCGTAAAGCAGCAGCTGGATTCGTTTGGACACCGCCCGTTATTCCAGTTGTGGCACAGATGAGCTGGTATATGCTTATATGCTCGATCCGACAAGACATCGGCCCGACTTTGTGAGGCAAACTGGAATTTTTTCGGACAATCTTAGTCAGTATGGTCAGCCATTGTACATTCCCGGCATAGTGGCAGATGCGCGCGAAGCGGGACGGCGTGCCACACAACGGTCTAACAAGTTCCTGTCCAATCGGTTCCATTCATCATGGTTGGAGTCGCGAATACGGCTGGCACGAAAAGTCTTGTCGTACTCCAACCAAACAGCCGGCGCGTAGATTCCCGCCAATTTTGTGATAAGGGTTTGGTAGAAATCGAGCGGATGCTGCAGTGCCGGGTGATAGAAGCTGCGTACGCGGCGGAAAACAATAAAGGCTTCATTCCACAGAGTAAACGATGTGATCGTGACCTTCTTGGGCTTCGAGTCAGACAAAACAAAATTACCATCCCGGATCTCGAATTTCGCTTCGCCCTGAATTGGAGACATGATGCTGTTCGTGCGCAGCAGCTTATCCAAATCGATGTTGACCGTGAGGTCATATAACTATTCCAAACACTTTTCACTGACATAAGGGAACCCAGTCGGCAGTGGCGGGGTTTCTTACCGGTGCTGGTTTCTGCTGCGCTTCTAGGTTTGACCACCTGGGAGTCGTCGATTTTCTGAGTTAACTGGTTAATCTGATTTCGTTGGTTCATCATCAGCTGGAGGATCATGGACATTTCCGTGGACTGTGCCGGCGGCTGTACAGGTGCAGCACTGGATGCGGAAGGAACGTGAATTACCTTGGGATCCTTGCTAGCAACCAGGGATTGTAGATGCTGTCGTGCGGCCGCGATTCGGGCGTCAAGGTTCCACATTCCAAGGCAATGGAGGGAAGGCAGTAGATCCGCGTGAAGTCCAACGGGCTATTTTTGCGCGACGCAGAATGAGAGATCAGCAGTGCCGGCGTTTCTCTTACGTCGTTAAACCAAGTTAACGATTAAAACGTTAACTTCAAATGTTGTTGGTAGTTACAACTTACAAGCAGGATGTGATTCAAAAGATCTATCACATTTAGCCGGTGGTATTAGCAAGTAACAATAAATACTGTGGACTGGAGAGCATAAAGAGAATCGCTGTTCGACAGACGCTTCTTGTTTATTGTTAGTCGTGAATCATGGTGTAACAGTAACAGACATTTGAAAAACATACAGCGTTCACCGAACTCAATGCGTTCAGCGTTCAAAAACGTACAACGTTCACCGTTCACCGGCTGAAGTAAAAAGACATTTGCAAGTGCTTCGCATTGCTAGCCGGATAGTCTGCAGTTCATAAGGAATCGTGACCGGCAAATTTTGCTCATATTCACGATCGTCGATATGAGTACAATATATTATAAATTGATTAAAATTAAATAAAATTAATAATATGATTGTAACACGATCTAAATACGATTAAAAGCATGAGGCGCTAACAGGTAAATGGTTCTTTTGTTGATGCCAGATACTCACAGATTTAGATTGTTATTTTCTTTTGGCCACTGGTAACTACTGTAGTTCTTTGTGATTTTACTTGTGGTTTCGTTTATATAACCTTAAATAATCCCGACTTGCATTTTGGTGGAAAGTCACAGTTCAAATATTAGTCGATTACAAAGTACTTTCGAGCTTACCTTGAAAGAAATGGCAAGTCATACTTTAACTGAAAAATGCATATTATTGCTTGGCAAGGTTCACCGAAGATTTTCAGAAAGATTTGAGAGCTGAATCGCTTTAAATAAGCATTCTAAAATGTAAATGTAATAAGTAACGTAATACTGTCATAATGTAAATTTAACGTAATAAGTAACGCAAATGTAATGTAATGTAATAGGGAATTTAATATGTAAAGCAATGTAAATGTAATAAGCATAAAGCAACCAGCAACGCAAAAGATTTCGGATTTCCAGGATCTTATCTTGCAGTTTTATTGAGTTTTTTTTACCGTGTTAAAGTTATTACTGGATGGAACCGAATTGATGCCGAGGGCGGCATATATTCAAGGATTTACCGACATACCCATCGCTGCCCACACTGTATGTGCAGAATTTCTGCTCAGGTACACCCGCGTGCAGGTAATGACGGGTCTTCCCATTCTTACTATCGAAAGCATTCAAAACGCGTTGCTGCTGTAACGTGGCTTGATTAATTCTTGATGCTTATAAGCTTCGCAATAAAGCTATGGAATGCGTGGAATCTTCTGAATCACATACAAAAACATGGCATCCCTCAAAATCAAACATAAAACGGCCATTTCATTTTAGCAGTGCAACCGACACAGTTTTTTTAACTGTCACATACTCGCTTTCATCTATCCCGAGTATTACCGACAGAAATCCAGGCATTTCGAAACAACAGCAGCTGTGCAAGGATACGTGCGCCAGCAATCGCTTTTACCATCGTCTAATTCGATCACTGAGATTATTTCAGCAACGGGAGATTGTTTAGCCCAAAATAGAGAATCGTCGACGTGATGTCCTCCGGCAAGAATATCCTGTGTTGCCCCCCTTCACCGGTCACGGGACTGGAGGTGGCGAAAACGGGCAACCGAATACAGACGAATGCTCTGGCTGTTGCATATCAGCGCATAATTCGGCATTAATAGCGGCGACCTCTTCCTTTATCGAATCCCATATCGCATCTACAACGGTAAAATTATAGTAAAACATCTAAAAATCAGAAACGAATTTCTTGTTGACTGTGTTCAATTAAAATTTTTGTAACGCGAAATTAGATACTTAACACACACAGCAAGGGATTCATTAAACATCAAATCAAGGACAGAACATGATTTTTACAGTACATTCGGTTAAGACTTACAAGAATTTCCATCAGGTTTGATCAAATATAAATCGGCGCTGCCGGGAGGTACGATCAACCTCAGGATGTCGTTGGCATGACCGCTGTAATGCAACCGAAAACCTCTATGCACTCCGGATGGCGCTTTAGTCGGCAAATGCTGCGGGATTAACGGTGTTGCGGATGCTGATTCTACTGAATCGGACGACAAAGACTGCGCTGACCGACGTGGACGGTTGGCAGGGACATCGGGCGCTGTGCTCCCGATTCGGTGCGGTTTGTAACGTCTGTTCTTGAACCATCTACACACTCGCTTTTCATTCTCGCCAATCCTCTCGGCCAATTCTACGCACTGAGAGTATTTGGGATAGGGGCAGTTCTTATACAGTCTCTCTAACTGCTCAACCTGGTCGTTGCGTAAATATGGCTTACTGTGCCTTTTCTTGCAGAATTGACGGGGAGACGCACATTCAGTTCAGGTAGCACTGGCAGGTTGGCAGGGGCATCTGATGTAGTCCCTGCGATTTTGTGCTGTTTACAGCGTCGATTGTAGAACCACTTATATACTCGCTGCTCATCCTGGCCTACGCCAACAGCCTCAACCAACTCCAGACGCTGAATATAGTCCGGGTATGGGCAATTCTTAAAAAAACTCTCTAAATGCTCAACTTGGTACTGGCGAAACTGCGGCCTACGGTAAATTTTTTTACGGCCGGTTGCAGGATTGACGGTGGGACAAACATGTTGTTCAAGTGCGGTAGATTTCACAATATTCGGCATATCAGCGATATATGATACGATGGATATTATCCTTTCAAAGCTGTGGAGATATTGTGCTGCATCCACGTTCAGTAATTATTAAAGATCCAATAATCACTTTCGCGTGACATATGTGCGTAGGCTGAGACCGAAGCAGGCGGAAATTACGCAGAGCAATCCTCTTTTAATACTCATTGAATCGAAACAAATCCCGGCTATTTACTTGTTAGCGTCTCCAAGTGCAATACTAAGGAAATCGGCAAACACTGGCCGGAATACGATTACTATCGTCAAATACGAATAAGGATTGGAAAAAATTACTGACCTGGCTAAGGGCGTATGAGACATTGCAATCGGCGAATGTAAATCACACGGAGCCTGCAAAACTTTTTTGTGTTTTTCTGAAACGGTTTAACAGGATGTAATTACAAGCAGGATATGATTCGACAGAATATACCAAAATTTAGACAACAGTCATAGACTCATAGTACTGTCACGGTAATGCCACAGTACAGTTGCAATAATATTGCGCACTGTAGAGAAT